AAAAAAAAAAGTACATGGAGGGAGAGCCAGGGGGACCATGATTTAGGAAAGTGTTAAGAATAAAGAGCCCCTAAGCCAGGGAAGAGAATTTTTTTTTTTTGAGACAGAGTCTTACTATGTCATCCTCAGTAGAGTGCTGTAGTGTCACAGCTTACAGCAACCTCAAACTTTTAGGCTTAAGCCATTCTGTTGCCTCAGCCTCCCAAGTAGCTGGGACTACACATGCCCTCCACAATGCCCAGCTATTTTTCTTTTCTTTGTAGCTGTCGTTGTTTTAGTAGGCCTGGGCTGGGTTCAAACCAGCCCTGGTGTATGTGGCCAGCGCCCTAACCACTGAGCTATGGGCCCTGAGCCAGAGTTTTTATTTGTTTGTTTGGTTTTGAGTCAGAGTCTCACTCTGTCACCCTGGTAGAGTGCCAGGATATCACAGCTCATAGCAAACTCAAACTCCTGGCCTCAAGTGAGTGACTTACCTCAGCCTCCCAAGTAGTTGGACCTGTAGGTACCTGCTACAGCACTTGGCTAATTTTTTATTTTTAATAGAGACAGGGTCTCACTCTTGCTCAGTCTGGTCTCAAAACTGTAAACTCAGGCAATCCACCCAGCTTGGCTTCCCAGAGTGCTAAGATTGCAGGCGTGAGCACCTATGCCCACCCTCCCTCGGGAGATTCTGATGCATGGCTGGTGCTGAGGACCACTGGCTGAGGACAGGGAGTTGAGCTCTGAGATCTGGGATATTGAGTGGCTCATGTGGAGGAGATTCTAGAGCAGCGGTTCTCAACCTGTGGGTTGTAACCCCATTGGAACAATGAAAATACATCATGGCATTAGGAAGGTTCAGAACCACTGTTCTAGAGAAATGAGCCAGGGAGGGTTTGGAATTAAAGGGAGAAGAAGGAAAGTTAACAGACCATGGAGAGAGGTGGCATTACTGTTTTGGCTGCCAGAGAGCTGGAGAAACTTGGCTCCTCTATTTCTAGGGTTTCAAGGTGAAATAGGAGGCCCAAGGGAAGTCAAAAGCTTTGGATTTCCCAGTCCTTCCTCACAAAGATAGCTGCTATCAGGCCTGAATATCAGAAAGCTCAAAGTTGGGCAAGAAGCACTAAGCTAAGAATATTCTCTTTTGGCCAGGTGCAGTGGTTCACACCTGTAATCCTAGCTCTCTGGGAGCCCAAGGTGGGAGACTCTCTTGAGCTCAGTTATTTGAGACCAGCCTGAGCAAGAGCCAGACCCCATCTCTAAAAATACCTAGGCATTGTGGCTGGCGCCTGTAGTCCCAGCTACTCTGGAGGCTGAGGCAAGACAGGGGGGCCTCTTGAGCCCAAGAATTTGAGGTTGCTGTGAGCTGTAATGCCACAGCACTCTACCCAAGGTGACAAAATGAGATTCTGTCTCAAAAAGAAATGATTTCCTGAGGGGCTTTTAAACAACAGTTCCCTGACCTCACCACCAAACACAAATTGTTCTGGGGTGGAGTCCTGGTATCAGGACACGCCCTAAGTAATTCTAATGGGCAGCCAGGGCTGAAAGCCACTAGGCTGAGCAATCAGCTGCTTTCCAGGACTGCCCTCAGCAAGCCTGCACATCACAAACCAGCATTTCTGCTTTCTGCCCTCCCCTCCTTCTGAGGGCAGCTCTGATTGGGCTCCCCCGACTTTGCTTTACTCTGTTCCCATGTTGTCTAATTGGATTAACTGAATCTCCTGCAATCTAATAACATAACTCTTTTTTTTCTTGAGACAGCATTCCACTTTCTTGGCCGTGGTAGAGCGCCATGGCATCATAGCACACAGCAACCTCAAACTCTTGGGCTAAAGTGATCTCTTGCCTCAGCCACCCAAGAAGCTGGAACATAGGCGCCTGCCAGAACCTCCAGCCATTTTCTTTTTAAAGACAGAGTCTCACTTTTGTTCAGGCTGTCCTGAATTCATGAGCTTAAGCAATCCACCCACTTCGGCCTCCCAGAGTGCTGGGATTACAGGCGTGAGCCACCAGATCCAGCTAATAACATAACTCTTATTAAACGGGGTATCCTGGGGACGAGTCACTAGTGTCAGGGTGGGTGCTCTGAAGACAAAGCCTGTGTCTTTTCCATCAGACTGTACATACCTCCCTAGGACAAGATAACTGCATCCCCTTTCAGACATGGGGACCCTCGAGGGCATGTCCCCTCAGTCTGGAGCTCCTTGAGGGCAGAGAAGATGCTTGGTAGCCCCCTCCCCATCAGACCGTGGCATAGGTGGTTGACAGCAAAGCACATGGACACTGAAACCAGACAGATTCAAATCCAAGTTCTGCCCCTGTGTGACTTTGGACAGTTTATGTACTTAACCTCTCTAATATTTTTTAATCTAAAAATATGGATAATAAGAGTTATTTCATGGGATCATTGTGAGGCTTGAGTATAACTATTTTTGAGACAGGGGTCTTGCTATGC